AATATTAATTATATTTTTTATTTAAAAATTAAAATATTAGTTCTTAAAGACCAAAGAGGCTCCTTGTATTTTATTTTCTAGTACATGAATTTTCGGATAATAAATATAGAACTAGTAAAAAAAAAAAAAAACTTAAATAAGTAGAGATCAATTTTGGAAAAAGCCCTTCTTAAGGCCCTAAACTTATCCCAAATTAGCATTTAACTCCTTGAACTAAAAATAATGCAATTAAGCCCTTCAACTCTTAAACTGGTGCAAATAAGCCCTTATCTTTAACAATTCAAATAGCTGTGATCTTATGTGTACTAAATTTGTTTGTTCTTCCCTTTCCACTATTCTACATAGATATTAATATTGATGTAACACTATTCCATATTAATGTAGATGATTTTTTTTTATTATGTTTATTTAGGTAATTTTCTATATGTATTTTAACAAAATTTAGAGTTTAATTTATAAAATTTAATAGAATTTTGTTATATATGTTAAAAACATGCCATGATATATGAACTCTTGGTTCTTTATCTTTTTTTATAATATATGAATCATGAACATTATGTGTAGTATCTTCAACTTTTGTTAATGAAAATAAAATATGTAATTATTTTATAATTAAACTTTAAGTTCTGATTCATTTTAAGAAAACTCTATTAGAAAATTATAATTAAATTACGAACAACATGTAAATTTTAGTGAAAGGAGTTTAATTTTTTTTAAAATAAAGTTTTGAATTTAAATATTATAAATGGAGATTGACACTAGAAAAGTTTCTTTTTTATGAGATCTAACTCAACTAAACTCAAGATTAATCAGAGTAGAGGTAAGTATCCAAAAAAAAAAAATTGATTAAGTTAAAAATACAAGCTTTTTAAACTAAAAGCTATGTAGAGTGCCAACAAAACAATATATGTGTTGGCACTTCTGCATCAAGTTTAACAAAATACATAGTTAGAGGGCTTATTTGCATCAGTTGATGAGTTAGAGGGCTTATTTGACCATTTTTAGTTTATAGGCTTAAATACTAATTTAAGATAAGTTTAAGGGCTTAAGAGGGTTTTTGCCTTAAAAATTTTAGGTTTGAGCGGTGCTAGGACTACTCGCACTAGCGCTTGCTCTTCAGCACCCTTTGCTCTGTTTTGCCACGTCACCTAGGAAATTAATGGTGAGTTGGAAATTATGG